AGTCAGCCCATCAGTAAGTCGCACAGAGTTAACTTTTGGTGCACTCGCGCACCCACGCACCGTACCGTACCCAGTCGTTTTACCAAACCCAGACATCCATTTCAGCTGCCTTTTTCCATACGCACATTTTCGCAGTTGGCTGGTTTCGTGTTTGCCACTGCGAACTCGCCAAATGCTACATGCTACATGCTACATGCTGCATATGCAGTGTAGAGCGCATGCAACTAACTAGAGTCATCAGAGGGCAGCAGACGTGCCGGGTTGAGATTGCATGAAAAGCTTTGCGACAGTTGATGTTGCCAATTGTGCACACATGCATCCGTTCGGGGGACCATAGATATGGATGTGGGTGCGTTAGTTTCGTATGAATGCGAGTAGGTTAATTGCGTTGCACGCCACTCAACAAATTCAATTGCAATTTTCCTGCGTTTTCATGCTTTTCCAATTAGAAGTACTCCATCAGACTGGCCGACAGCCGTGTCGTCGATGTCGTTCACGTCCACGTTCTCGTCATCGTCGTCGCCGCGGCGGAGCACACTCGGTGTGGCGAAAGTTTCGACCTCGTAGCTACATTGCCACCAAAGTAGTGACATATTGTGGTGTTTGGACAATGACTGCGCGATATTTTCCAACCGCTGATGCACAAACAGACACACACACACACACACATCGCCAACGAAAACTCGTATGATTTGACACATTGCCGCGTTTTCTGTGCGTTGCAGGAATAGAGACTGGTTGTGTGTGGGGTGGTTGGCTCCTTCGCTTTGCATTGGCTTGCATCAGCGTTGTTTGTATGTCTCATATGTATATGCATACGAATATCATGATAGTGTGACGTGGGTGCTTGTATGCCTATTATTCGATTTCTTTCGGAACCTACTGGTGTATAAGTGAGTCCTTTGTGTAATTTTCGCTTTGGTTGAAGAACTTCAAATACGAGTAGTTACATCCCTAAGTCGCGCGACGCTCATTTGGCTGACTTGTCTGTCTGTACTCGTATGTCTTTTGTGTAGTTTTTTATCTTCCGCTATTTTTTTATCAAAAAGTCATATACCTTTTTACCTCACAAAGCCTTTTTACCTCAAACACAGCATTAGATGGTGCCTTTTCACTGACTCACAGCCGTCGCGCCTTAAATTAGGCACAATTTTACATACATACATACGAGTACATACAGTAGAGCAAAAAGATATGTATGAGTTGACGTCATTGCGCCTTTGAAAATAGTTAATTATCTTGTGTGTGAGAATTTGTGAATTTCCTTGTTGAAATTGGTTTCTTAATTGCATTTGTACGAGCTGCCACTACTGATACAAGCATTCGCCCTCTCGCTCTCGCTCTCCCTTCGTTGCGTGAAGTGAAGCAGAAAGGCTACCAGCTGTCAGCTAGTCATGGCAAACTAACTACTGTAAGTTTCTGCTTTAGATTGGGCTACTAATTTCAACTTAATTCGCCTGACGATTCTCTGCAGGACGACTGTTGAGTGTTGTGAATCGGATGTGGCAAGGCAAAGCAAACAAAGTGCATTGACTAATTGCAATATAGTGTTCGTGGAAGTCCAAAGTATGAAAGAATATGCGAATCGGTGAAGCAGTTGCGAAGAGTTGCAGAGAGTGAGATAGGGAAGGATAGAGATATTGGCATCCAACATCAAGTGCATTCAGCGTAAACGGCGCAAAGATTGAAAGGCTTAAGTGGATAAACGCATGTGCTAATAAAGAAATGGCCTCAAGTTGCACAAATGCACCGGCTCGCAGTTAAATTCAAAGTTCAGTTGACGTTAATCGCTTGATGACGTGACGCAGTGAAGCATTTATTAAAGTCACATTTAGAAGGCAAAATCGTTGTCCGTGGAGAAATTGATGCATTTTATTTTGCTCTCAAATGAAAAGTGATGGAAATGTTTGATTTAACTGTGATACTCTTTTTTCTTAATTACCCAAATTCTACAGAGCTTTAAGGCTGAGGTTAGGTGGAACTGGCTGATCCATAGGATCTCTCATATACGATAAAGCATCGAAAGTATTGTCAGGTACACTAAAGGCGATCAAGCTGCACTGCAACTGCCATACTCGTAATTGTAGCTCGACTGGAACATTGCCTTTCTCTTCGAAGAATGAAGTAGTCGTTTCTGACCCTTTGGCAATTGCGGATTGAAGAGCCTGTTTGCTGGACACACACAGATTACGGGTGTGACAGTATCTCCACACATTCCCTACATTTCATGCAGTTGTTATCCTCAGTCAGATCTATACTAAAACGCCAAAAGGCATTGCCTCGTTATTAATTCTATCGGCAGATAGATAGTAAATCGTATAAAGTTCACATATTTTATAAATAGTGTACGCCGATATATGGTTGCCGGCCCGCTTATTGGGCAAAACACTGTTTTCGGATGGATCCTCTTAGAAATAGGTAAGAATTAATTAACAAAAATGCATTCATGTACTTATAATGAATTTTACAGCAAAAGAGCACACATGAATTAGAAACCACTTACTTTTTTACCTTTATTTTCAGGTAGTTTTTTTCCATATAAAACAACAAACACATAATGAGATGTAATTTTGTAATTAAGTTAAATGTGATCGTTTGGTTCGCTTAGCAAAAGGTGGGATAATTCAGGCTGTTTGGTCTACACATATAGTTTTCCAGATTCTGCAGCCCTTATCTCGTTCCCAGAGTCTGATTATTCGAATGACTGACTGACTGGAACTACAAGGTACATTACTATCTCCTGTTGTTCTCTAGTCAGTTCGTCTGCTATTTTATTACTTCTAATGCCTTGCCTTGTATAGCCTGGCATACTGTAAATATATTCTTCTGTTTTCAGACAATACTTGATTCGCCTCTTTATTTAGTTCGACCCCAGCTGACTTCGTACTTCGTGCGTGAACTTAGCCGTTTGGCTCTCCACACAGATATTTCTTCTTTCATTTGAAAGCTAGCAAATTGCAGTAGATTTATTTTAGAATCATCTGTAAAACATGCAGAGTATTTTGTCTGCATTTTCCAGACCTTAAGTCCAACCATTCGGCTCTATTGCAGCGGACAACAGCCAGATTACATAGTCTATAATATTATATTTATGGTATAGAGACCCAAAAGAGATATAAAGACGTACTCGAGGCTGAAAATTTCCAACCAACTAAATTTTTTCCATAAATAATTGTGGAAAATTTTTAAATAACTATAATCGCTGGATGAAAATAGCTTTTGTAGGGAATACTGAAGAAACTAATATTTTATTTTGTATTTTTAATTTAATAATATACAAGCTGAGTTCCAAAATTTGTTAAAAAAAGGGTATAGTAAAGTAAGCATTTTTCTATGAGTAAAGTAAGAGTTTGAGAGTGGCATAAGATTTTTTTATAGACCTGAACACATATAAGCTGGGGAATGTCCCAGACGATCTAGCACATCAACAGCTGACGTAAACATAGAAAAATCGAAAGAAAGTCGAGAAAGTCTCGACAAGTGCGTACGAACGTGAAGATTATGCTCACCGTGTTCTTTGATTTCAATGGCATAGTGCATCAAAGATCCCGGCCACCAAGGCAAAAGGTTCTTAAGTGGTATTATCTAAAAGTTCAACACTGCTTTTGTGTAAGTCCGAAAAAAAAAACAACCGTGTTTGTGGAAAAACCCTCCAAGGCTCTTGCATTACGATAATTCATCCGCTCATACTTCACTGCATGTTCTTGTATTTTAGGACCAAAATAATATTTTAACAATATATTAGCCTTCTTATTCACCAGACGTGTCTCCGTGTGAATCTCACTTATTTTCAAAAGTAAACTTAGCCTTCAAGGACCGTCGTTTTACAGCGCGCTGACGAAAGGGCTAAAGGTTATAACAAACATTGGGTTTGAGAAGAGTTTTGGGAATTGGTAGAATTTGTGCCAGGGTCTCTTTTGCAGACAAGAGAATCTAGGTAAATGGATAAATAATTTTGTTTTTTTTTTTTTAAATGAAAATTCTGGTTGTGTTTTAAACACATCTCGTATATAATTGCGAGAAGAGATCTATATCTTAAATCAGCAACCGCTTGGCAACACTCTCCGTCTGAGCGAGCCTATCGAAAACATTAACGATAACCATACCTATACTGACGGTTCTAAATGCGAGGGTGGCGCAGCAGCAGAGTTCTGCTGTGGCCAACGCAATAACCAAGGTTGTTTTCAACTCTATGAATACCAGTCTGTCTTCCAAGCAGAGGTTATGGGCAAAGTCCAAATGCCGAAGGACCCCTTAAGAGGCAATTAACAGACTACAGCGGGAAAAACACAATGAATATTACTTGGGTTCCGGGTCACAGAAATGTAAAAGGCAGTGAGAAAATGGACAAGGTAGCTTGCGCTTGCAGCGTGGGTTATGTTGTAACCAACGAATGTCTCTGACCCTCAGTGTTTTAAAATTTTCTTTAAGACAAAGGACAATGGAGGAGCACTTAAGGTCTTGGAACTCCTTCCAACATACGGCGTATTACTAAACTATTCTGGCCAACGTAGATAAAAGAAAGAATGATCTGTGAAATTAGCATCCTCATTGTTGTATTAACAGGTTCAGCTTCCTCTGAGATATCAACGCCATAAGCGAACCCTTTGGCAACAAGTCAAATCCGCGTGCGAAAAAAGAGACAAAGCAGCCTTCTAAAGAGCAATGTCACGCCAGCAACCCATTCCTACTATTGGGTCTTATGTTTTAATTTAGTTTAAGATTTTGTTAGTTAAAGTGAAATGAAGTGGGTGCCGAGCATACACAGAGGATGCCGAAACGCTGGAGCACTACCTTTGCGAGTGTCCGGCCTTCAGACAATTAAGACGTCACATTTTCCACGATGCTTCAACCTAATGGATGTGGGCATGCAATTTATAAAATCCCGCGAATTTCTCGCAAACGTCTAGTTACGGGGAAGCTCTATTAACCTACCAAACCAAACAATTCTAAGTCTGAGTTATCCACTGGCAATTGATTGCCAATTGCCCGACATAAATCTACATACGCTTACCCTTCGGTTGATGGCATAATTTCGCATAAAATGTGTAAACAAGTAGACTTACCTGTAAATAAAAAAGAAAAATTGAAATTAATTACATTTATTTATTTAAATTTTTTTTAAAGATTTTTTTGCTCCCCTCGTGAGCTGCATTCCAATGGTCTTAGCGCGCTATTAACAAATTCTCAAGCTGACACAAAAAAGGTCACAGTGGGTACTACAAGTAATTACGGGAAATATTCGCAGCAGTATACTATACTATATACAATACATACTCGTATACATATATGAATAACAATGCACAGTAAATATGTAATTTCTTGTATTCATTGGGATTCGCAATAAAAGTGCTTATTTCTGTAAGTATACATGTTTACAAAATTCCCTTTTTTTGCCTACATTTTCTACTTTTATTCTGCATATTCCCTTCATACTTATGTATGTGTACATGTGTGTGTGTGTGTGTGTGTGTATTGTGGTATGCCGATTGCATGTTCCGCTGAAAAATGAGGGGCAACAGGTTAATTTCTCGCTTGTTTGCATGTCAGCAGATAAGCAAAAGTAGTCCACACCCACACACACACACACCCATCAAATGCATACATACATATGTAAATGCATATGCACATATGTATTATATGTATGTTACTTACATTGGGGCTGACTAAGTAATAAAGTGATCCGAATGTATTTGTGTTGCCGCGAAAGCAGCGAAAGCGGGGGTTACATGACTAAAACATCGTGATATGGGAATTGGCATGTACAATTTCGCAGGAAATTGCTTCTGATATGCTAAGTTGGCTGTGGTTTGCATTCATAACATATTGTTGCTTTTTTTCTTCTGCATTCTACAGCTAAATGCAATTTTTCGTATTTTGTTGTTGTGCGTTAATTAAGGCCATTTAAAATATAGCTATTTTTTAAATCCTTGAAAGTTGATGAAATGATTTTTTTATTGGAAACTTAGACATGTACGGACGCAATCATTTTTTGCAAGAAAGGGCACTTATCTTCAACTATCGTAGAAAATAGCTGCAATGTAAATGGGATGAAATAATGTGGCCTGCATGTGATAAAGGAAAGGCACGAGAGCTTATCACGCTGACTTCTTATAACGCATCCCCCACTGGGCAGAGTTGCTGGGCGAACAATCAAACGGCTTCTGCTGAAGACGCAGAAAAAAAACTTTAAGGCACTTCCTTGGCGAGTTCTCTACACCGTACATAATTTTTTAGCTTGCTGTGTATACAACTTGAGCAGTTCGAGGATGAGATTGAGCAAACACTACATTGCGACGAGAGAACACCACCCTGCGAAACCATTTGTTTATACTTACGGAACAAGGAAGTTTGACCGATGTCTATCGACCACTCAGGTAGCCCACAGTTAACTTCTCAACTCCCCTCGGTAATGAGGAGTGAACAGTATCCGATAGTAGCACTGAATGCTAACAGTATTGGGCGATTTTGACAGATTGGATGTTACCAGGGTGATACGTACAGCAGCAAAGGAAACTAACGGCTTTCGAAAAGGTCGCAAAAACAGTTGGCACGAGAGTGAGAGAGATCTGAAGAAATTGAGAAGCTGGCCGACAAGGGTAGTGCTCGTAAATTCAACGAAAAGATTCGGCGACTTACAGAAGGTCTTAGGACCCAGAGAGGTGAAATAGTGACTGATACACAGAGTGTACTCAATTTATGGCAGAGAAAGTGCAAGTCCAGGAGATGGCGAACCCGACGCCACGATCCATAACGACAAAACAAATATTTCATTACCTGACTATGAAGGAATTCAAACAACAAATGGCCGCTTGAAAAAAGAAAAAAGCAGCCGAATCCGATGGGTTGTCGACTAAACTATTCAGATGTAGCGCTGAAGAGAAGATTAGGTGTATGCAACAGCTTCTTTTCAGAATATGGTTCGTTGAAAGCATGCCCGAGGAATGGATCCTAATTGTACTATGCCCGATTCACCAAGGAGGGACACCGCAGTTTCGGTTTACCCTATGTAATATCCCATAAGGTATTATCTATCGTATTGTGCGAGAGACTAAAGTCAACCGTCAGAAGACTGAGTGGACTTTAGCAGTGTGGTTTTAGGCTTGGTTAGTCAACCCAAAATCAGATGTTCATCATAGCCAAATGTGGGAAAAGATCGGGGGAAAGAGCATCGATACTTACCACCTCTTCGTCGACTTTAAATCAGCCTTCGACAGCACAGTAAGGAGATACTTCTGTGATAGCGCCGTAAAACTTATAAGGCTGTGTTGATAAGGTGACTCTTTTTCGTGCGACTTTTTCAATGTATTGTTGGAAACAATAATAAGAGCTGCACAGCTGAATAGAGAAATTACAATCATCTCAAAGTGTACTGCTGGTGGCGTACGCCAATGATATTGCCATTATTGGCCTCAATAACCGCGCCTTGAGTTCGGCTTTCTCCAGACTGAATAAGGAAACGAGGCAAATGGGGTGGTAGTAAATCTGGTCTGTCATCACACAAACAGTAATCGCATACGCAACTGAGCTCCCACGTCACTGCTGGCACACATAAGTTTGATGCCGTAGATAATTTCGTCTGTCTTGGAACAAATATCAACACCAAAAACTACTTCAGACTCGAAGTTATACATAGTTCCGCTCTTCGCAATTGGTGCTACTTTAGACTGAGTAGACAATTGAAAAGTCATCTCTGGGTGAACAAAAACTCCCTTATCCCGTCCTGTGTTATGGTGTGGAGGCATGGACGATGACAACATCTTATGCGTCGAAGTTAGGAGATCTCGAGCGAAAGGTTTAGTGTAAGTTTTGTGGTCCTCTGCATATTTGAAATGGCGAGTACCGCAGTCGAAGGAATGATGATGACGGCGATATTTGCATAGTTCAGCGAATCAAAAGACAATTGTTGCGCTTACAGGGTCAAGCAGTCCGAATAAATAAGAATACTCTAGATTTGAAAGCTTTTATGCAGTACCCGCCGGTGGAAGCAGAGGAAAATGAAAACCTCTCCACCATTAGAAAGACCACAAACAATACAAAATTCAAGAAACCTTTCACACTTTTCGCGTTTTTCGGAATATTTAATGAAATTCTATTCGACAAAATTCCAAAAAGTAGTCTCTCTTGGAAAAGATTAAAGGAAGCTTTTTCAGGGGAAAATTAAATGATTTTCCAAATATATATATTACGGTAAATAATGGAATTAATTTTATAGTTTGTGCTTCAGCTCCAGGATTTACTACAAAATTCAGGTTTTCAATGAGAAATGGCGCAGATTGCAAACTTTAGCCATTTCTTGTGGTTTTTCGTTTTTCAAAAAGGAATACATGGCCTTTCTTCCGCATTAACCTGACACGAAAAACAAATAATTATTTCCGAGCTCTAAATGGACATTTCTTTTTATTATATGAATTGCGGCTACCGCTGATTGGTGGCAATTAGAAAGGTAAAATGGTTCATTCTAGGATACATAGATAAACGCCAGATGGTTAACATACATGAATATGTACGTATGTATATACGAGAATAATGTACATATGTAGTTACCCCAGATGGTGGGCAATAGTGCTAACGCCTTCAACTTCAGCGTTGACACAAGGGATTTGGTTTGGGAAGTGTTTTGCATTAGTCGATTGAATACTCATATATGCACATACATGCACTTATGTGTACATACATATATATCTACGTATATATATTATATACACACGCGCATGCTCAGCAGAAGGGTAATGAAATTCGATATGATGGCAAAACCAAAAGCAAGACATTACTAAGCTTAGCTCAAAGCTACGTCTGTATGTGGGAATGCTAAGAAACTCTACGTACTGCTTATTGTTTGGCAGATTTCGACGAACGATGGTTGCAAGACAACAACAGCTGCATGCGTCACGTACCTGAAAACAAATTCATAAATTAATCAAACAGTCGACGTGGAGGTCAGACGTTATTTGCAAGCTTCGTAATATAGCTTTATATATGTAAGTATGTGTATATGTATGTATTATGAGGCACATAATTGACTGATCCATGCTGGCAGCCGACAATGAAACCATCAAACCATCATTATGGCGACCACACAAATAACTAAGTAAGTCGGCTCAATTTCAGTGAGTTCCTACAGCTGCTGCAGGACATTTACCTTGCAGAAAATGTAGATATGTACAAATATACATATTTGTATGCACATGTGAGCTCAGTACAAAGGCTGCTAACGAGAAATTAACACTGTACGCTGTTGGCGGTTTGCTGCCCAATCAGTCAAACGGAGTGTGAGTCAGTCATTCAATAAGTTAGAAAGGGTATCATTTTCATACATACTGACACACAAAGCTATAAAACGCTGTTGGTGTTGCTTGATAATGTTTGCGGCTTATTTGCAAGTAATTAGATCAGTAGTGGTCATACATCACACTTCCGGCAGAGCGGCGAGCGGACGAGGATGGACAGAGTCGCAGGCTTTTAGCGGCTCCAGACCCAATCATTCATATGCCAAGCAGTAGGATATATAAATAGCTGGACATATATGAGATTACAGCACGTCCGAAAATGGAATTACGCATTTGGTTGCATTAACAGTAGATGGTGGCATTAACAAGCTGGCTCTATTGCAATGCTAATTCTCTTGTTTGTTGCTTTGTAGTTGTTTATTGTTTTTGGTGCATGTGTTTGCATAATGTTGGCAAATATCCCTACAGAAATTTGTATGCGAAAATTTGCTATAAAGATATATTGTATATATACATACCACCATACTATACATATATATATATATATATATATATATATAAATATATATATATATTCAATAAGTTAGTCAGGTTATCTTTATATATATGTTTCGTGGCAACGTGCTTAAGGCGCTAATTTGTTGCATTAAATATTTGCTGCCTCTGCGTATTTGTCACGCTCTTGCAGGGGCTAGCAACTGATGGTGCTCTCCAGGAAGCTGCCCCTTGTTGCATGTCACGCAGGTGCATAGGCGGGCAACATCATTTGTAAACAACAATTCAACAGCTTTTGCTTTACGGATATGTTTGCTGTGAAAAGAGTGATTTGTTGGATT